TAGTTTCAAATGTAATGTATCTACTTCAGTGCATGAGCCTGCCTTCTGCCATATTACTTCTTCCCAAGAAGATTTTATTTTACTTTATTTTTTCTGGTACCGGGAATTGAACTCACAACCTTGCTCTTGCCAGGCAGGCCCTGTGTTGCTGAGCTGTATCCCCAGCCCCCAAGAAGATTTTAAATAGCAAAACCAGAAATTCAGCATCAAGTGTTCATTATGTCATATTCTAATTGAGACTTTTGCAAACTTGAAACCACTTGATGATAATAGTGCCTTGATTATTTGGGTGTATGACCATACTTATCCAATCATTTAATAAGCATCAGCCTCATTTAAAATAATGTGATGAAAAGTTCATAGGTGCTGTGCGATTGTTGATGATTTTGAGTCAGTTTTTGTTCTTTTACTCTTAGTTTTCTCATTTGTTTAAAAAGGAGAAGAAACTACAGAGTTATAGACAGAAAGGATTAAGGAATGTAAGTAAAAGTACTAGAAATAGCCTCCAAATTAGACTAAGCTTTTAGTTAATATTAGTCAGTCTCTCTTACTTTCTTTTCAGTACCTGAAACTCCATTGATGTTTAACAACTTTTAACAGCAAACCTGAGTTTTACTCCTCTGCATACCCCTGTCTTTGGTGGGCCTTCTTGTTTTCTTTTTATTCTTTTTCTCTTTTTTGCTTGCTTGCTTGCTGCTTGATTTGTCTTTTTGAGACAGGGTCTGACTATGAAGTTCAGACTGGCATTGAGGTCACATTGTAGCCCAGACTGGTCTTGAACTTGCAGCGATCCTCCTGCCTCAGCCTCCTGAGTGTTGGGATTACAGGTATGCACCACCACGCCTAGCGTTATTTATTATTTTTTTTAAATCCCCACTTAACTTCATTTGTGAGTAGATTTATTGATATAAACTACCTCTATTCCTATACACACTATATATGCATGCATATAAATACTTACATATATCCATATACATACAGAAAGGAGAGTGCGGCATATAGGCAAATAGTTATTGCTTGTTTTAAATTTTAAAAAATCTTCCAACTGAAGAAATACAAATGGCAAATAAATATATGAAAAAATTTTCAACATCATTGGTCATCCGAGAAATACAAATTGAAACAACACTGAGATTCCATCTCACCCAGAAAGAATAGCTATCATCGAGAAGTCAACCAGTAACAAATGGTGGAGGGGCTGTGGGAAAAAAGGAACCCTTCTCCACTATTGGTGGGAGTGTAGACTGGTACAACCACTATGGAAATCAGTGTGGAAATTCCTCAAAAAACTAGGATTAGAGATCCCATTCAACCCAGCAACGTATTCCCCTTCTGGGTATTTTTCCAGAACTGAAAACTTTATTTTCAGTGTCCTCTGGTTTTTCACAGAAGATCAAATATAGCTTGATGTACTGTGGCATGGCTTTCTGAAAAATTTAAGTGGGAAAGTCAGGTATTTGCTTGTGTGTCTAGAGGAAGACATTCGAAACACGAGTTCTCTGCACAGTCTTGGAGAGTAGTGCATGGGGTCAGGGTCCTTAGCCGCACTGGTGCGCTGCTAATCACATTACAACAAGGTCTGTGAAACACCTACTTCTCTAATGATTTTAATGACGTCTTTTATTGTCCCCTTTCTGCCATTGTTTTTGTGGTGTTGAGCAGTAGTTTTACAGATTTATATATTATTTTCTTATATTTAACTTTCTTGTGAATTTGTATTATACCTGTTTCCTTGGTCTGCTTGGTATTTTCCCTTAGAGCAGCAAGAGTTTTATCATGCCGTCCTTTCAACTTCTGTGTTTAGTGAATGCTCAATTCAGTTGCCTTAAGATTTTTACATGTGATGAATTCTGTTTTCAGAGTGGCAAGTTTCCTGGTTCGTTGTCTTCTCACAGGCTGTTCTTCCTTTGATGGTAGAGCAATTCTAATACACTGTTGTCAGGTCCTCCCTCCTTTGCTCCTTAGTACACTCACTGCCTTTATGGTGCAGATCTCTCTAAAGCAGAACTCATCTGTTTGTGTCTGTGTCTTACCTAACTGCTGCGAGTTCCTTGACTCCAGAGATCACATCTGCTGTCTTTTCTAGCATCTCCTCATCCCTCTTCTATGACAGTACCTGACTCCTGTGGCTGGCACAGTATAAATCCCAAGTGAATTAACTCTCTACACATTTGCTTTTACTTAACTTCTTGCATTGCTCAAAACCTAAACATTTGTATTGGGCTTTGCCATGTTTGCTGTTTGTACGCACTTACAACTGGAGTGTGTAGTCCTATCCTTTCCTAATACTGCTTTTCCTAATCTCCTTTGGTGTTATATCCTATTTGCATAACTTCTGGGTTAACATGAGGTTTATATATTTTTATCCATTAGTAGAGGTATTAAAAGAAGAGCCCTTTGTTAGTTTGATACACTCACTTCTGCCCTTAGCTTGTAGAGAATCTTACCCTAGGGTTCCATATTTGTTTTATTTTTGAAATCTGCCATCCAGACGTCTCTCATTTCAGTTCAGTAACCCCAGTAGTGGTGGTGTGGAGTTCCAGCTACACACCCAAGTGATGCGGGTGATTCCGCCCACAGTCAGTGGGAGGTAGGGTGACTACTATGCCATGATAGAGCACAAGAGGAGCACCTCACGGAGACCTGTAGGGAGTGAGGTGGGAGCCTGGGGAGGGCGCCAGGGGAGGCTGCAGGGAGTGTCAAGTCCTGAGGAGCCACCTGAGTGGTACGTGGAGTTCAGCAGGCAAAGGCGAGGGAACTTTTCTGGTAGTGCAAAGGCGAGGACAGAGTAACAAGTTGGAAAGCAGCAGCATACACTGTGTGAGGAGGAAGGCCAGGCTGCTGGGAGCCCCAGAATGCAGGGTAATAATGAGCGCGCAGTGGGAACTAGAGCTGGGCTTAGTGTCCTTGGAGGCCACGTTATTAAATGTCCGTATTTTATCCTGTCAGTTGGAAGAAGCAGCTTCTCCGTCAGCACAGTGTGTGATTTCTGGCCACAGTTTCCACAGTGGTGAGGGTGAAGGGCATAGTCTTTGTAGTCAAGCTGGGTTGGAGCCCTGGCTCTGCTGCTTTGCCGCTGTGTGATCTTGAGAAATGAATCAGCTTCCTCCTGACGAGGAGGCGATGATAGTATCTACCTCATTAAAATGGTTGCAGCAGTTAGTTGAAATGGTGCTCTGTAATGCAGAGGTCAGTAACTGGCATGTAGTAAGGGTTACTGGCTTCGTCAATTAAAATTCATTGCCATGGTTAAATGGACAACCTAAGTCTCTGGTGGCTCCCAAAGAACAGTTAACATCTTGTAGAATGCCAGACTGTTTCTTTTCAGATTGTTTATTTTTTGAAACTGAATTTTTATGGGAAGGCCTGTGCCAGTGTGTATGTGTGTGCGAGAGTGTGTGAGTGTGTGTGTTAAAGCCTTTGAAATGCAAAATGGTTTAATTTGGTCACTTTTTCCTTCCTAAGGGAATATGATTTGTTTGTTTTTTTTTGTTTGTTTTTTAGAAATTGTAAACTCAACTTTGGGGTGCAGTGAGTATTAGAAGTGGGGAATGGGGCCGGAAGCTGCTGCTGGTGTTGTCTTTTTTCTTCCTGTACAAAAAAAATTGAGAGGAGAAGTCTAGAGAGATGCTTGTTTCCTGAGATCCTTATGAGACAGTATGTAGACTAACACAAAATACTCTTTATTTCCTGGTCTTTATATCCGTTGAGATGAATTCATCTTACGTTATTTCAGGGTACCCTCCCTGTAATACATGGTGATGATGATGATGGTGATGTTGACTTTCATAACCTTTGGTTAGTTGGAACTTTCCAGAAATGCTAGCTTTCAGGTCCCTCAAGGAATTTCTACTGTTTGCCCTTTGAGTATTCCAGAATCTGTACATCATCGGGTGTTTTTGTTCTTTTATTTTTTGTTTTGTTTTGTTGGTTGGGTGTTTTTGGAGATTCTCCAGCCTCAGCCTCCCCAGTGCTGGCATTAGTGGTATGCACCTGCCATGCCTGGCTGCTATCAGTCATTTAGCTCATTTAAAAATCTCCTCAAAACTTCCTTTTATTACTAGCTGGTTGTATAGACTAAAATATTGGTGGCACTTAAAAGTAACATTTGTTTTTATTTTTGTTTTAAGAGATATATTTAAATACTTTGTCAGAATAATTTTGGCAAGGAAAAACTGTTTTAAAGAAATCTCTTTTGTAAGAAAAATATTGGGAAGCCTAATAATCATACTTTTCTGTTATTGAGTTATAAACATTTGATAAGATCCAATGTGGACCTTCACAGAAAAGGCCACCAGTGACTTGTTAAATTATTGCTTGTGAAAGTGTTGTTCTCGAATCCGTGACATCTCTGTTTCGCATTTCCTCTCCCATTAGGATAAGTCTGCGCTGTAATTAGTCAAGGTACAGGTCTGTCTTAGGCAACAGTGTAATCTCTTTGGCCATGTGTGCCCAAGTAGTGTAATTACAGTGTGGTATTAATTGGACCATGTGACTGTTTTTGCTTTAATTATTTCAGATCAACTTATCTCTTCGTTTCTTTAAAGCGCGTTAATGAGTAAATCCATAGATATTGTGTTGATGTTCTTTCTGCAGAATTAAATATGTCCACATTTATATAATCTTGGTAAATAGTTCCCTATCTTTTATCCTTTATAATGTTATAGATTTTCTCTCTCTCTCATAATTTTAAGCCTAAAGAAATAAAATTTTATGAAGACTTTCTTTTTTATATTTTCCTTTAATGTATGGAACACTAATTAGGAGTTAAGCTCTCTCTGGCTGAAGAGGTAATCTCTATGTTGTTAGAAATTACCAGATTTATTTCTGAGTAAATTAGGAGCTTAACATGCTAATGTTGCACATCCTATTTAATAATCTGGTAGGAAATGTAGCTGTGGGTACCTGTTTTCACTGCCTACAGGTACTTGGCAGGCTGTGTGTAGAAACGGGCATTTATCTGAATGCAGGTTTTAACTTTTGTCTCCCTTTCTTTTCAGTTGTTTTTATTTCAGTTGCTGCGAGGGCTGTCTTACATCCACCAGCGTTATATTTTGCACAGAGACCTGAAACCCCAGAATCTTCTGATCAGTGACACGGGGGAGTTAAAGCTGGCAGATTTCGGTAGGAAAGCAGTTAATTACCAGTCTATTTTGTCACACTGTGAACGCACCAGGCAGATGGTGACACTGCATTTGTTTAGGTGCACTTCTTCTGTCATCGTTGATCATGGTAAAGTTTTTTTCTGGAAAGAAGACTTTTTAAAATTTATGATAGCATGAAACATAAGTGGCTGTGTTGTGGACAAAATCCATCATAAAACATTGGTGGATTTTTATAGAATGTAGACTGCTTCTCAGTCTTACTTAAATAATCATAAATAGTAATCAGATGTCAGTACCTATTTCCAAAGGAAAAGTCAGTAAAATTTTGAGCATAACATATATTTAAGAATTTTTAAAATTTTTCCTTATGAAACTGTCAAGAATAGTGTCCAAAGCAGATGCAGAGTATGACCCATAATCCAGCTTTAGCAGATTATCAATATTTTTGCCAAACTTGAAGAAACCTGAGATTATCTGCCCCATTTCAGAGCATCATGGGATGTGTGGCAGCAATAATTTATGTTGCCCTAGGAATTTTATAACCTAGCAATCTAGCACTTTTTAGAGATGGCTATTTTTTGTTTGTTTGTTTGGTTTTTGGTACCAGGAATTAACTCAGGACCTTGCGCTTGCCAGGCAGGTGCTGGACCACTGAGCTATATCCCTCGCCCTGGAAGTGGCTGTTATTCCCAGCATTTCTTGTACATTGCGAAGCAGACACATTCCTGTTTAGCAGTCGGAGTCCTGGCGTGGGCCCGTGATGAATCACTCTTCTTAGAAGTTCAGCTTCAAAGCCTCCTCCAGGTGTTCTTGAGCACCCAGAGGGGAGCAGAACTGTTACACCCTCCTCGCTGGAGCCATGTTGAGACCGAGGCTGGCATTTCTGCATCACCCAGTGCCCTGCTCCACCTGAGGTCCTTTTCATTAGATTCCCAGTCCTGGGGACAATGCCCCATGGTAGCATGAAGTGTTAGCATTGCATTGCTGCAATTATTTTTAATACATATGCTGATTGGAAGGCGATTCCATTAAGAATGGAATGAAAATATCACCCTTGGGATATAAAGATGCCTGTGGTTGAGATACAGGCTTTTTCTGAAATATGATTATCCTTTTCCCATTCAACATACAGCAAATAAGAAGACTAGAAACGAGGATATCCTATCTCAAGGTCAATAGACTGTTTGGTGCTTTTGGAAAGAATGTCCTGTTTTGGGCTTTGGGTATTCTTTTCTTCCAAAACTGATATAAAGCAAAAGTGAGCATGATTAGTGATACACTGCAAAACTTTGTAAGCTGATTTTCTGCATCCACTTTGATGAAAATAATTAAACTCGTGTGTGTGTGTGTGTGTGTTGTTTATTGCCGGATTTGGCATCAAACTTATACCAGGTGGCTAGATGTAAAGTCTTTCTATTATAGGGCAGAATATACTGAGAGGGTAGGTGGGTGGGGAACAGAAGTTTTGTCCTTAAATTCAAGGTTATTGGCTTTACTGTGACTATGTTTTGTAGTTTGTCAGCGTGAATAAATTAAAAAGGATTTACAGTGATTTTCTTCTGCTAACATAGAATAGTTAAGGTTATAACTTATTGTATTGAACATTTAATTGTGTTGAACATGTTTTTTGTATGTTTATATGATATATTTTTATAGAACTGACTTGTGTATATAAAACCAAGGGCACAAGAGATTGTATATATGTACTTATTAAGGATTAATTTTTAATTTTGAAATTCTTCATGGTGGCCAGGTAAGTTCATCTGAAAAGAGTCTCATAAGTGCTTAAAACTGACATTTTATCATATGAGATTCAGAAACAAGGGCTGGGGCTTTAGCTGAGTGGCACAGCTCCTGCCTGGCAAGCGCAAGGTCATGAGTTCGATTCCCGGTACCGGGGGTGGGGGTGGGGGGAGAGGAGATTCAGAAAGAAATTGAAATGTAATTTTTAAGAACTCAAATGATGATTGTTTTAGAAGATTTGAAAAATTTTGCAAGTCTGAACAACTCAGAAATGACAAATATGAACACTTTCGTTGCGAATCTCAGCAGTTCCCAGTCTCCTCCTCCTCTGCCTTCTCGTTCTGTACTTTACCTATGTACTACATTCCTCAAAAAAAAGAAATGTATATTCTGTAATCATCTTCACATAAAACTATGTCTTGAGCATTTTCTCATGTTAGTGAGTATGACAGAGTCATTTATAACAGCTCAGATTTTTGTGTTATTTGACCAAACCTAGTCTCTGTCCATTTCTTCATGAGGGTTTGTGTCATGTAGATTTGTTGGCAGTCAGGGACAGTCATGTATTGGACGTCTTTGTAAGGAAGCCTGGCCTAAACCTAGCCTGCTGCAGAGGCGATGGCAAATGTGTTGAGGCGTTTGATTCCTCAGCCCAGCCTGCTCTGCAGGAGACTGTGCCCGCGCACCTCCCCTCGGTGTCAGGGGCTGAGCACCTGGCTTTGGAATGCGTGCTTGGCATGCACCCTGTGCGCAGGGTGTGACGAATAAGACTCATTTGCCAACTGACGATTTCCCCCAATTAATTGTGCATTATTTTTGTCTTTTAATTTAAGACATGCAATTAACTGTGATTTACTGCGTTTGGGCACGTGTGTGTGTGTTGGAGATGAAGGAAACACACTGAAAATTGCAGAGAAGCTGAACAGTCAAAATGGGATGGTTCCAGGCAGCAGAACAATTAGAAACACCAGGTCTTAATTCAGAATTTGACGTACAAAGAGCTTTAGAAACCATTTTTTTGTCTTGCTTTTCTCTTTTCTGTGAGTTGTACCATAAAATTTTGATTAAAAGAGACAAATGCAATCTGTATAATTGCATTTACCATATTGTAAAGGATACTTTCTTATTAGAAAAATACACGCACCAAGGAAGTAAAACCACTAAAATTTATTAGGTTTATTCATGTGCTGGCTAGACATTTACAGATTCTTGTTTCATTCTCTTGTATAGTATTTTTGAGATTCAGAGAGTGAAATCTTCCCCAGGCTTGGTCACACAGTTGGCTGGCCATCAACTTTAATTTCGGGAGCTTGATCCGTATCCTTCACTGTCAGGTGGGCTGGCATCTGTACTTATAGCCGTATACAAAGGGTGATCCAAAGATTTGGTGAATATTTAAATATTAAAAGAAAATAGTAGAATAAAAGGCACATTTCCAGGAATGATGGAGTAAATGTGTTTGAAGGGGGGTGGTTTGAGAAGAATTAATGACAGTGCTTCTTTTACTGTAATAAATTTTAAAAATTTACACATTTACCATACTTTTGGTTACCCTATATTGATCAAACCTTTACGGCAGTTTCTGTGAAATAAAAGACTCTGGGGTCTATGTCTAGAACCACATTTAGACGCTTAATACACACTAGATGCTCAGTAAAGATTATAAAAAATATACATAAATAGTTTGAGGGTTAGTCTGTACAGACTGAGACACACTTACATTTACTAATTTGTTTGACTAGTTCGGCAAACTAGCAATATCCCGGCTGTGCACAGTCAGGACTGCAAATGGAACGGATGACTCTTGATAGTTCTGAGCCTCAAGACTTCTTTTGAGTCTCTTACACAGAGCCCTTGTGTATTGGCTTGGTACACTGTGTTATAACCATGTGATGGAAAAATAGACGTACACGTACCACGTACACGTACCACGTACACGTACCACGTACATGTAACGTACACAGAGTACACGTCAATCTACACAAGAGAAGCTTAAGCCTTGCTGTTTCTGCTCTGTAGCCTCCAAGTGATTGCTGCTTGAACTGCTGTCCAGAGCAAAGTGTATGAAACATTGAATTGGGAGACACGGCTCAGTCTATAACAAGCTTCTAAATTTCAGAAAGTTATTTGCCTCTTTTAAGCCTTGTACTCCTTACCTAGAATAAAAAAGCGTTGAGCACATAGGTACTGTCTAAGATCCTCTTAGTTCTGGCTTTTTACGTTTTACATTTCTGAAACTATTAACCTATTTTGTGAATAGATGTTTCCTAGTTGGGAAAGGTCTAACCACTGAATCTGGAATCAGGGTTATACTGTCCCTCCCTAGAAGCTAATTTTTTTGTTCTCTTTTTTTGGAAATTCAAACAGATGAGATTCATGCTTTTATAATATTCATTGAGAGCACATTAGAAGAAAATTGTTGCAGCCCAGCAAGTAAATGGAGAAAATTCTCCAAAAACTTAAGTTCATTTTTAGTGTAATTGTATCAGAACTTAAGATATTCTCCATTTTATTAAGATTAAATAAAAAGGATGACTGTGTAGGGTTGCAGTTTCCTGCAGTTCATGCAGATGTTGTTGGTGTCATCCACACTTCCCAGCCATTCTACTTCTATTTTTAAGGCTCACAGACTAACAACAGTTGAAGGACAGTTTGGTTAAATGTGCCCCTAAAAAAAAGGGACAGCGAGAAGTCTGGAATGTAAACATTTAAAGACTAGGCTTATTTTATTGACTTTCCTAAGGGAGGAATCCAAGTTAAACAGCCCTGTGGTTTTAATCAAGAAAGACTTTCCCATCAGTCTAAAATCTTACCTTCCCAATGTTGGTAGTTTTCTCTTCCAGGCTGATCCCTGCGTAGATTTTAGAAAGAAAATTATTATAAACCTCATTTTAGATTAATTTAAGGAACACACCAGAAATGTGACTTTATAGAGCACATGGTAAGTACATGATTTATTATTAGCTTCTCAGAATTCACATTTTCAGATGCAGAGTGGAACATGTCAGTTTGATGAAGCTTCTAGATTAAAGTTGTCTACTAGCCCCAAAGAAAGACACTGAACGCTTTTTTTATTATTCAAAAAAAAAGAATTCATCATTGTAGCTATAATGATAAATTTAAGGTTAGATATAACTACCCATTTGCTGTGGCCTGCAGGATTCATTCTTACTGCATTTTTTTAGAATACATTTTCTAATAACAAAATTTTTCCAATAAACGATCACTCTCCTGGCCATTTGGACAGTTTGACACATAAACAGTTTTAATGGAAAA